AATTAACTCAAGATGGATCACAGACTTAAATGTAAATCTCTGTGACCTTGGGTTAGGCAAAGATTTCTTACATCTGATACTAAAAGCACATGCCATAAAAGAAAAACTTGACAAACTGTAGTTCAACAAACTTTTAAAGTTCTTCTCTTTGAAAGACACTGCCAAGAGAATTAAAAAGCAAGATACAGACTTGATTTGAAAAAAAAAAATGCAAATTATATCTGATAAAGAACTTTTATCTATAATACATGATCTCAATATTAAATAGTAAAGAAAAACAACCAAGTTTCAAAATGAGCAAAAGATGTGAACAGTCATTTTAGAGAAGATGCTACACAGACTGGAAAATAAGCCCATAAGAAGATGGTCAACATCATCAGTCCTTAGAAACATGCAAAATAAAAGCACAACGATATATCATTATACATATATGTATTAGAATAGGTAAAATTAAAACGACTGACCATACAAAGTGTTGCTAAGGATGGTGAGAACTGAAATTCTCACATACTGTTGGTGGGAATGTTGAAAAAGTTTGGCAGCTTAACAAACTCAACACAGACCTATCACATGATCCCACCACTCCACTACCAGGTATTTATCCAAGTAAAATGAAAGCATATATCCACACAAGGATTTATACACACATGTTTATAGCACTAAATTCGTAAAAGCCCAAAAATGGAATCCCAAACTTCTATCTATAGTTCAAAAGATAAAGAAATTGTGGTATATCCATATAATAATGGAATAATAAGGGGTATAAATACAGAGATAAGGCAGTGGGCTAGGAGGTGAGGACACAAGTCAGGGAGGACCTTATTGGCTGTTACAAGGTCTGGATTTTACTCTGAGTGAGACAAAAGTCACCACAGGGTTTTCCAGCAGAGGGGTGGCATAATCTGACCAATGTCTTTAAAAGAGCGCTCCAGGTCCTGTAGAGGGTATATCCTGCAGAGGAGCCAGGATAAAGACATGAAGATACTGTTGTAATAGGCCAGGTGAGTGATAGCTGTGACTTTGACTTGGGTGAGAAGAGGAGGTTATAAAAAAGGTGAAGGAATTAAGAAGTTACAAATTGGTAGTTACAAAATAGTCAGAGATATAAAGTACAACATAGGAAATATCGTAAGGACTACGTATGTGTCAGGTGAGCACTTGAAATACCTATATAGGATAGCAGTCTTAACGACTCCACTGTAAATCTGAAACTACTACTGAATGTACACTGTAACTGAAAAATAAAATTTTAAAAAATGTCTAGATACTAGATATTTATTTTATCCTTACCAGAGGACATGCTTATTAATTTTAGAGAAAGGAAAAGAGAGAGGAAGAGGAACACTGATGCAAGAGAGAAACATTGGTCAGTTGCCTCTTGTACATGCCCCAACCCAGGAACAAACCTGCAACTTAAGCATGTGCCCTGACTGGGAATTGAACCCACGACCTTTCAGTTTACAGGATAACACGCTAACCAACTGAACCACACTGCCAGGGTAATACTGTCTATATTTTGAAAGTAGAGATGAGGAGACTGCTGCTTGACAAGATGTCTGATTTATAAAAAAAGAACGGAGTCAAGGGTTACTCAGGTTTTTAGCCTGAAGAACTGGAAGAACAGATCTGCTGTTCACTGAGATGAGAGAGATTGATGGAGAAATAGCAGCCCTGGCTTTCTCTCTTAATATTCTCGCATTTTTACTTCATCATGCACATTACTACAAAATTCATTTGCCTAAACCATTACATTAATTATGTTACTGTTGTATTTTAGAATCTGTATTGGTTTTCCATTGTATTAACCATCTTGAAGAGGTAAACTACTTCCCTTAAAATAAGGTGACCAACAGGTGTTTGGGTTGGGGGGTACAGATGAGATCAAACACAAAACCAGTGCGGAGCCACAACTGACCGAGTAACTAAAGCAAAGCAGATGTAGCTGGCATTACCCAAACATCATAGGTCTTTATCTACAAAATAGCCACAAGTTCCTTAAGAACATTAGGGGTACAATAATTACGATGATAAAAGAAGTACAGTTAAACCTTGAACACTATGGGGTTTAGGGGTACTACTCTCTAGCACAGTCGAAAATCCACGTATAACTAGTTAGCCTTCTGCATAGCAGATTCCCAACTATGAAGTTCAAGGCAGGTTTCAACTGTGTGGCTCAACGGAACTGCAGTCAATTGGAAAAACATTCCACTTTTAACTGGGACCATGAAGTTCAAATCCATGTTGTCCATGGGTCAGCTCTATATCATATATCTATAATATGCCAAACATGGTATCATATATAATGTTTACCAAGTGTCCTAATACACTTGGAAGAGTCTTCCTAATCTAGCCCCAATTTCTCTCTCCCGTCTTGCCTATTCTTTCCTATTCTTCTGCTTTACTGAACCACAGAGCTCAACATAGTCCTTTGTCAATACAGTATTTTCTGACTAGAATACCATTCCCGCCCCTATGTCTATCTTGCTAATACCTACTCATCCTTGGGCCCTCATACTTATATAACAATTCCCTCACACTTATATAACCTTCCCAAGGAACACTTTTTTCTGTATCTGGGTTAGAAGCTTCCTTCCACAAAAATCTTGCCTTTCTTCATCCCAATACTTCCCATACTATATCATTATGTCATCTGCTTAGTTCTGAACCCCATCTAGACTTAACTTTACAAAGGCAGAATCCATGTCTATCTTAGTTCCCAATATACTGCAATGTTAGGTACTTGGCATAGAAATGTTGATCGAGAAACATTTACTTAATGATGTTAAGTTTAGGGTATTTAGAAAAACATTAATTTAAGAGAGAAAATGGTTAGTTTAGTCCATGACCTGGTAAAGTTGAGGAAAATGGCAAGACATCAAAAGAGAGATGCTCTGTACAAAGGTGGAAAAATGGAGCTGAAGCTGGGCTGAAAAGGGTGAGCTAAGGATACTGAAAATACAAAGGGAAGGCCCCCCAAGAAACAAAATTTATTTATAAAAAATTGTGTATTTATTTTTACATGTTTAAACTTCAGTCACCTTCAAAGTACTCTCCATTTGATGCAATACACCTATCATAACATTTTTTCCATTGCTCAAAACAGTTTTGAACTTGTCGATTTTGATGCCTTTTAGTGCTTCTGCTATTTTTTGTTTCAGCTCTTCCACGTCAGTAAAACATTCTCCTTTGAGGTCTTTTTTCACCCGGGGAAACAATGAAATGTTGCTCTGGGTGAGAACGAGTGATTAGGGAGGGTCATGCCATTTTTGGTCAGAAACTGCTGAACACTAAGGGCAGTTTGGGCAGGTACGCTCATATATCACCCATCACAAAATGGGTAAACATGTTGGAAAGAGTCTTCAAAAACACTCACTGAAGCTGAACACAGCCCCACACAACAACGCCAGCTGGAACACTAACACAGATGGGTTCCTAGGACACTCACCTAGCGGGGGAAGCCTGTACTACAAGGAGCCCACCCTTCAGAAAATAACTCCACTTTTTGGGGGGCACCCCCTCTTATAAGACAGGGTAAACATAGAAACTAAGAAAAACACTGAGTCAAGGACTGATAGAATGAAAATAGGAACATGTGTTAAATGCCAAAATAAGGTCAAAAAGATCAAGATAGCAGCAGCTCCACTTACTATAGGGACAATGTCTCTTTTACTTATCTAGGAACTAATACAGTGTTCAACACACATAGAAAATTAATAAAATATTTGTTGAATGAGGGAATAAATGACCAGAATCTCACTTTTTAAAAAGTTAACTTGTGAATTAGAATGAGCCTAAATGTTAACTGCTCGAGAATCTTGCCCTTAAATATTCACTAGCCAAGACTTATTGTACTTTAAAAATTTAATAAATCCTCTGCCTAATCCTTTGATTTAGTTCCAGTGTATTTCTTTCAGTATTAGTCAGCTGTCCTTAGCCTTTTAGTTTAAGTCTCTTATGTCTCTTTTATCTTTATCACTTAAATAGAAAGTGTCAGTAAAAAGACGTTGTAGGCTTGAAACAGCATTTGTAAAAGAATTGCTCGTGCCTCAATTTCTAATCAACACCACATATGAGTTGTTCCTCAAACCAGATCATCTGGCCCTAAAACCCTAACTTAAAAAAAATAAATAACCTACTTTAGGTAGCTTAAGTGATGAATGGTCCAGGTTATCCTCACCTGAAAGTCATTAGCAAACCTGAACTCAATCTAAAGAAATTGCCAATGTAATAAATCATTTCCATTATTATTCAAAGCATTTATGAGAAGATTCACAAAAGTATGACTGTGGCACAGATTATTAAGTCTGAGAAGATCACTGTTGAAAAAGGACCTAAATAAACACTAGGTTCAAGAGAATACAGTTGTCTTAGAGATACACACCTCTACATATTTTAAAGTAGAAGGAAAGGTAACAGAGGAAAAGATTATTCAGACTTGAGGTAATACACCCTGCCTGGTGTGGCTCAGTGGCCTGCGTGTCGGACTGTGAAGCAAAGGGTTGCCGGTTCAATCCCTAATCAGGGCACATGCCTGGGCTACAGGCCAGGTCCCCAGTAGGTAGTGCACGAGAGGCAACCACACACTGATTGATGTTCCTCTCCCTCTCTTTTTCCCTACCTTCCTCTCTCTCTAAAAATAAATAAAATCTTAAAAAAAAAAGATGAGATCACATATATGTTCATGGAAGAGGCAACAGAGACAGATACTAAGTATGAATTTAAAAAGAATCTCATGGATGTGAAGGAAGTGCAGTGTGGTAGAAAAGAGAAAGATCATGAGAATGAGAGAATATGAATGCTAAGACATGTTTTACGTAATAGCGTAATTATGATCCTCTGTGCTAGCATTTTATGAAAAAGAGGTAAAAGTAAATAGGTTTTTGTTGGTTAACTCGTGGATTATGAATGGGGAAAAGGGGAAAATAGGCCTTCAAGTAAAAATATTTAAATAAATCAAGAATGCAGAATGTAGCGATCACACAGTTGGCCAAGTAACTTACCTGGTCGTATCCATAAGGCCTCTGCTGTGGTGGCTGTGGTGGTCCAGGCTGTGTTGGCCTATACCCCCCATACTGCTGACCTTGTCCCTGTGGGTAGTTAGGATACTGAGGACCTGGACCACCTTGTGAAGGACCTGCAAAATAATTAACATAAATAAGAGTCCAGATAAAAATATAACTTCCTAAAACTCTAGGAAGGGTTTAAAACCAGATGTTTTATTTTTATATCTAAACAAAAAAGGACAGTGTGGTATCTTGATTTTCTCAAATGCTCGAAATAAATCCCAAAGGTTGTGAGAGTGAAAATAACGTAAAAATATCACTATGCACCAGATGCTCTGATTCAGTATAACTACTGTGCTTTGCATTAACCACTAAAAATTTATGTCAAAATTAGTAAAAGAGATTCAAAAGTTGTAAGGCAGGTTAACTCCATATTAAGAAAAGTCATCTATACCTCTATCAGAAAATTAACCAGTATAAGCAAGAGGTAAAAATAAACGAACAGGTAAGAAGCAGATTCAAACTAAAATACTGAACCAATTTGGGAATAAACTTTGGAATCAATAATATTTATAACTGTATGACTCTAGATCTGTATTACAATCACCAACAGAATCAAAAATGATTTTACATGTAAATTCTAGATTTATATTTGCAATCACCAAAAAATTCATTTATGATCAGCACTGACAAACATCACAGTATTTTCAAACAGGAAATAGAGATAACTTGATAAGCTACAAGTTGCATGGGGAAGGCTTGATTCCAAGATTACAGGCTGTGTACCAATCACCTTTAATACTTATCCCATAAAACTGAATGTCGTCAAATTTCAAAGATGGCAAGAGACTAATTTGGCTTACCAAACAAATATGTCTACTTCAAAAACTCTACGTTGTCTATTATAAAACATGCTCTATAAAGCAGAAGCTAAAAAGTTTTGATACTTATAAATGTCTGTCAGTTATTCAAAACCCATCATAAAAAATATTGATTGCAGAAGAAAGTGCCAAAAGAGAACAATAATTTTTTAAGCTTAAATTCCATCAGTCTATTATTTTAGTTATTTAATTATACATTCAATTATTAAAATTCTGAGTTTCTATTAGAAGAAAATGTGGTAGCTGAAGTCTATGTATAAGCAAAATGGGAACTTCTTTAGAATTCCTGATGTCTAACAGAACAGCATTTAGCTACTTAAATAAAAAATATTTAACTTCCTTTATTCTTTCTTCCTACCTAAAATAATTATTTCTCTTAAATCAGTAAGTTTATCTGATTTAGCCACATATTTGTTTCCATGCAAATACAATAAAACCAGAATACTCTATTTATTCAAAGTACAAATATTCAATGGTCATTAAATGTTTCCATTTGAGAAGAAGAAGAAAGACTCTCTGTAAAAACAAGAAATCCATGGAATATTTCTAAAGTCGTATCTGAAATTAGTAGACCAGAACCTAGCATTTTGGGGAAATTGCCTAACCCCTAATACCTGACTGAATTTCAAGAAGGCACAAGAGAATTTTCAACCTGGTCTTGGTTCTTAGATTTGCTATTACAGGAGAGGGAGGTGTCAAAGTAACAGTAGAGCTTAAATCAATGAAGTAATAGGACATTACTGATATAAGAAAGAGACCATGTTAGGAAGAGATGACGTCAGATTAATAAACAGCTAATTCCCTTTCATTAAAACCGTATTTTCCTATTTCTAAAATAGCTATAGTAGCATGAAACTTAAGACGGAGACATCAGGTCCTTAAACCCCACTCCTTATCTAATAAAGTTATTTAAAGTCAGATATGCAGCTAGAAGATAGTTTACTGAGTATATAATAGGGAAATATGGCTAAAATTCCTCCAAAGTCTGTTAAGATACACAATCACAAAAGATGTAACTCCGTAGATGTGTATGCTATCTAGAGCATGACAACAACATTTTCTTCATGCATTCTGAATAAATCACACTTGTACTTTAAAAATCAACATTATCTTTCATAGCAATAGTCATTAGTTTTAGAAACAAATTTGCTACTCAGATTATGTAGATAAGGTTAATAAACAATCAATTAAATTCATCAGTTTTCCAAGAACATACAAAACTAGTGGCTGGTCATAAATGCCAAATAGGTTTAAGAATTCCTATTTCTTGTCCTTTATATGGCTACAGGGCATATCTTTGGTCAATGAACCATCTCTAGTTTCTGTTTCTTTTAAAATAGATTAACAGTTTATCTAAGAACATTTTAAATAAACACTAATAAGACACTGAGGTAAAACTGTGAATTTTCAAAAATGATACATATCCACTTCCACATTTCAAAACATTAATCACTTCGTTTGGGGAGGACAAAAATAAAACGCAGTATGCTATTACCGTAGCCCTGCTGCTGTCCTGGGTAGCCCTGCTGCCCGGGATACTGCTGCTGCTGGGGTGGGTATCCCTGCTGAGGAGGGGGTCCTTGGTAAGCATCTTGCTGTTGACCATACTGTGAATTTCCTACAGGATAATTGGAGTAAAAAAAAAAAAAAAAATTGAGAAGTTTGCTTAACTAACTTTTTCCTCTAAGATGCATAGCCAACAACACAAGAACGAAATAAAATGCCATATTGATTTTTAAAAGTTAACAAAACAAAGAAAAAACTCAAACCAAACAGAAGGATTTCGGCCAAACAAACTGCAGTTAAAGCCAATTTTGCAAGGTTGAACTGCAGCATTTTCAGCGTCTCTGCCATACGAGCATTACATTTACTGGAACATCACAGTCATAAGATCATGACTATGCTAAATAAAATAAAAAAGACAAAATTAAAGACAGCTACAAGAGCACACACTAGCTACACAAGATCAGCAAGCTGTTTCCTAAAGGCACTATACTTGTATGTGAAATTATACTTATGTAAACACACACAAAAAAAATTGGATTGATGGAATTATGTTCAAATAGAAAATTTCCACTGAGGAAAAAATTATTTTTAAATGTTTTAGTCTTTTTATTGTTGTTAGAAATGGCAAGTCATGGTTATACATTTTAAATATTTGTAAGGAAATTATTTTGATTGTTCTGGGCTCCCTACAACTTTCAAGACAGCCAGCAACTACTATTCTACAAGAGCTTTGCACGGGTAGAAGTTGTCTTATGCAAGAATTTTCGTTCCTGTAGAAGGGGATATATATGTGTATGTGTGTGAAGGTATATAGATACCTCCTTCGTAGTAATGTTGTGAGGAATCCTCATAAGGCCTATCGTAGCCTTGTTCAGGATACGACGGTTGCTGATAACCGTAATCATTATGACCTACATCAATTCGACAAGAGACAGGAAGAAACGTTAATGGCCACTGAGTGAAAACCCTAAATATATTTAAACTTTCAGATAAAACTGAAAAAAAAGAGAAAGAAATGGAAATACATGAAAAATAATTTCAATTGCATTAGCCAAATATTTACCAATGTGATTGTTTTCATATCGAGATAACGTGCAATTTTTTTTAAAAGCAAAAAACAGTAGTTTTAGAAACATTACACTTAGTCTTAACTCTGATAATCCTCATTGAGGGGGGAAAAAAAACTTTATCTTCAATTTTTTAAGAGAATGAAAGCATTTAGGCCTTTCACATGTAAATCACTTGAATTAAATTAGAATGAACAAAGGAAGCAATTATCATATTTTGTCAAACACCTGTTCTGCTGGTCGCCAATTCCACAGCATATGCTAAACAATACAAAATATAAAAGAGCTCCATAAGTTTTTTTCCCCTGAAAAAAACTGCAACAAATTTTTCACATTCTATTTACTTGAATAAAATGTATGTATCTCAAAATATTTTTAGACACGAAAATATATTGCTTAGTGCTGCCATTCTAGAAGCCTTAGAAAATATCTCTAGGGTAACATGGACATACATCTTCATAAAATTAATATTGTATTAAGTGATAGAGTACACCTTTACTTTTCAGACACAATAAATTTCACCTGCAAGATGACTGGACTTTAGTGAAAATCAATACACTAGTCCTTTTAATTGAATTGCACAAAGAAAATGCAACAAATAACCTTTCAGTTAGCTAAAATCGGAACTACATTTTAGTAGAATGTCTAAGGAGGAAGGAATAGTTATAAATAAATGTTATACTCAGTGCTCTAGTATTCCAATGTTCCCAAACCATCTCATACATATCTACATTAAGGGTTAGCAAAATATGGCCTGCAGTCTAAATATGACCAGTGGCCTGTTTTTGTCAATAAAGTTTTAGTGAAACACAGTTGTGTCCACTTATATTTTCTATAGCTGTTTTCATGCTACAAGAGTTCAGCAATTGAGATCAAGACCATATGGCACACAAAAACTAAAATATTCATTCTCTGGCTCTCTCCAGAAAAAAAGTCTGCCAACTTCTAATCTACATATTTACTGGCATAAACACCTAAACATAGTAAGAACATATCCAGTGCTGTCTAAGAAAATTAATTGTTATAAATGAAATAACTACTCTATGTAAATGTTAGACAAATACATTAATATACACCTATGCAAAATGATACCATTTAGATTTTTAAATCCCAATGTAGTAAAGATGAATTATTTTTAGAACCTTAAAGTTCTGACATTTACAAAAATAACATCTATTTTGAATAGAAAGATCCTACTTATAAAAATACAAATTTTACATTTCAGGGAATACTCAGAACCAAAATAACAGTATCAAATTTAACTCCATTACTTGAAATGTATACTAAAAATTAAACCATGCATCTATATTCAGCTGACCTCCTAATAAAATTTAACCACCTAAATTTCATCTTTTAAAAATATAGTTTATAAACTTAATACAATGTCTACATATGAAAAAAAGAACACAACACTTAATAATTTAGAGCAAGAAAACCTAACATTAAAAAATATAGTAAATCACTTTCAAATCAGAATTACCCATACATATCATCAGTATAAGTAACATTTATTATATGCATAATTCTACACATATTTGCTCTGCCTATATATAAGCAAAGCCTCAGCAATAAAAGTAATGTCCTTATACTGATGTACCTTTATGCTTTATACATTGATGAAAAATGGCAGGCAAAATGACTTTTTAAATACACCAAGTTATATCTTCTTTCTAGCTTACATTAGCTTCCAAACACTTAAGCTTTAAATTCCTAGTTTCCCCTTGTTTCTCTTTTTTAAGTAGTTCCCCTTAAATACACCAAGGGAGCTTACTAAATAAATGAAGACTCTGGCAAATCCTTTCATAAAAAAGATACATTATTTTGTGAGGTGACTAACCACCTCTAATTTATCAGTTTTATATGTTTGAATTCTTTTTTCTTCACCAGTGTATTATAAAGTTTTCAAACATACAGAAAACCTGAGAAAACTGACCTGTACAGTGATAGCTTCCTTGAATGCATGGATTGTTACTAAGTTGCAGCACATCTTTACTAACCACTTTTTCACACGCCACCTTCCTACTAAAAAAAAAAAATTCCACTAAACTACATAACTAAAATTGAAATCTGTTTTCCAAATGCCTTTCCTATTCCACTAACTCTATATACAACTATATTATGAATATAATTTAGCCTCCAAAATTTTTCTCAAATGCAAAGGCTAATGTATACAAATCATAGTTCTTTAAGAAGTACACATTAACTAATATAATAAAACGTACCAAAAAAAACTTGGGAAATTCTATGTATTTATACAATGCATAAAAGTAAACCAATAGGTGAACTTTATGGTGTGTGAATTATCTCAATAAAGCTGTTATTTAGAAAAGTATATCAGTAACACTGGCTTTGGTAGAAATGAACAATTCCAAACATAAAAGCATCTTCTTTTATATGAGAAAGGATTCCAATGACAGAACATGATCCCTGATGGTATTAATATGGAATATCTAAATAAAATATACTTTGAAATAGATTATATACTAATGTTATCATTATGCTTTAGATTATGGAAGTGTTCTAAATTTAGAAGAAACATATTGTCAGTTTCTTCATCCACAATAAAATGTTTTGAATAGCTATCTACATGAATATTGGGCAGGGACAGAAAATAGGAAAGTTAACATTAGGAGAGATTACCATCAGGGTAATATTGCTGGTTCATGCCTTCTGGAGGACCTTGTCCACCATGACTGTATTGGTCCCCATAATAGTCTTCCTGGCCTGAGTACTGCTGGGGTGGGCCTGAAAAACCACAACCAGTGAAGATGTAAACAATTTGTTCGCTAGGTTATCAAAGGTTTTCTTCTATCTGATGTTACAAGAGATTATTTCTCAGCTGTTAGACTCCTCTCTCATGCTTTGGCATTTCAAATACTTTTAACTATTCTTATACAAACACATACATAAACACACAGCCAACACCAAACATATTTCACAAAGATTAATGTTAAGACCACACATGCAATAACAATACTGAGTCAAAAAAAAACAAAAAAACAAAAAACAAAAAAAAAAAAACCCACTAACTTCTTAACAAGAGGGTTAAACTAGTAGAATAATTTCCCTTTTATTTTGATATTAGAGCAGTTTGAAATAAATTAGGGTTTGTTTCTGACCATATATTTAGTACCTTCTCAAAAATAAGTATTTTCTGCTGTAAATTAGCTTTTGATATAAAATTTTACGGTGAAATCTTTTCTTAGAAAAAGAAAAAAGAAAGCTGAATACCAGGAAGTTCCTACCCAATTCATGACCCTTGGTACCTACTATATCCACTACCTTTTAGGAAAATATATATATAGTTTTGTTTTGTTTTTTAATTTTAAATCACAAAACAAAAGCACTGATTTTTACCTCGATGAAAAGTTCATTGAAATGGAAAGCCTTCCAACTACTGTTACTTATATTAAGCAGGACATTTTCCAAATGGAGCTTTACCCTGTTGAGGTGGTCTGTAGGGAGGAATCTGTCTCTGACCCATCATATGATTGCCTTGGTTAACTTGGCCCATCATGCCCATAGGTGGCTGCTGGCCTTGGTAATGCTGCCCACCTCCCTGTGGCATATTGTACTGTTGAGAAGGAGGCTGCTGATGCATCATTGGACCTGAAAACAGACAAAACATTATGCACATGGTTCTTTTTACACATAATGTTAATATCAAGAGAAATACAAAAATCTTTCATTATCATAACACCCAAATACATAACTTATTATAATAAAAATTGACTTTAACCAAAGGAAATCTTTAAATTAAAGTCCACATGCCTTAAATAATCTACAAACAAGGGAAAACAACCAATCCATGGTAGCTGATTTGAAATTCACTGGAGGGTTAGTCTAGTAATTTAAAAAATAAATAAATAAAGTGGATACAGTATGTGAACATCCTGAATTTTTTACTACATACTATATAATAACTATGAATGTAACCCTTCTAGAAAAGATAGAATCCTTATGCTACATAAGAAAATAAACCACAACAAAGTAAACTTCACAAATTCACACAGCAAATAAGCAGTCAAACCAAGAGGAAGAACTCTAATTTCTGGATATCCATTTTTTTCCCCCTTTTTCAGTGCCACTCACTGCATAATGACAGATAGCAAAACTATGCAAATATGTATAAATAAATATACTTACATTGGTGAAACTTCATAAACTTTCATTTTTAGCAGAAATTTGAAAGGGTAAGCTTTCCCTCTTCCAACTATAAAATTTATAAACTAAAAAAAGTCTTCTTATAATCAAAGGGTGTTCCTTAGTAATAAGTTCTAACACATACACAATCAAAACACCTAGGCAGAGAACTGCAATAAGCCAGCCTCTGAAGTCAGAACTATGCAGTTTCCAAAAGTGAGCAATACTGATAGCCAAACTACCACAACTACAGTACCTCACTGGCAACAGTAAAAACTTATCACATGAAATAATTAACACAAAGTTCTGTGTACTATCTAACAATGTAAGCAGCTCCTCAAATGTTCACTGGGCAAAATTAGGCACGGGGAGCTCATCATTCTACCATTATAACCATTACTGTCTCAGAAGTATACATGAGCTATCCTCTAGATTATAGTGCCTAAATAGCTACATATTCCCTTTAGTAAAAGGAGACAATTTAGAAAGGTGAAGGACTTCAGAGCCTAGAAAAGTTTTATAGTCAAAATTACCCTCATGAGCTAAAAGCTCATTTTAATTACTTAAAGAAAAATCCAAAACATGTTCACCAATATATTAACTGACCTACAATAGCAGCAACAATGTAAGCAGAAAGAATTCAACTGTGTTCCATTTGAACTGTATTTTCTAAAGAAGTATTTTATCAGCGCTCTTTCTCCTATTCAATTTCTTTTGTTTCTCTACTACTTTTCACACTCCTTTTTCCTTCTAATTTTACCATCAATGTAAGCCTTTCAAAGGTTACTATGGGATTTTTCTTTCAACAAGGAAATAAACTCTTAACAGTAGATATAACATGGCTCACTGGGAAGTGGAGGAGAAGAGAACTTAACACTGAATGCTCTTAACACTGCCAGACATGCTTTCAACATTCATTTCATATAAACCATTAACAACTACCACAGGTAATAATGCTAATTTTCAAGATTTTAACCGAGGAATCCAAAGATCAAGATTATATAGCTAACAGGTATCATCAAATGGGAATCAGACAAAACATGTTTATGATTTCAAAACACATGTTTATTCCAGTATCCTTCACTGAGTCTTCAAGCTATAGAAAATTTAGTAGTTCAGAAGCAAATTATGCAACAAAAGTCCCAAACAGTTCTTTAATTAAGGTTACAATTTTTAAAATATATTTTGTATATAATAAAGTATTGAACACTAGCATTCATAATTTAATAGGCAACATGATTGGGCATTTGTGTAACACATTTTCAGTAAATGAATGTTGTGCCTTGTCTTTCTTCTCCAACACTGATTAAAGACCTCTTGTCTTAACAAAATGTAACTATAAAACTAAAGCATTTAACATGCAATAGGGTCAAAATTAAAAATAAAGGAAGAAGGCTGAGGGAAAATCTAAAAGGATACAATGACCAAAAAAACTCTAAGCTTTGCTCTAAAGGAGAAAAGTATTTCTAGCTTAAGTTCTGGAAAGAAAAGACCATGCCACCTGTGTTTTATCTCTGGGACTGTCAGTAGTTCCTATCCCAAAGAGCTCAAATACCACCCTTCTTTTGTTCTCCTTCATTTCCCTCCCTTTGAGGAGCCTCGATATCATTCAGGATTACGCCTAAAATCGAACAAAATGGAGGAGGATAGCAGCACTAAAACATAATGTTCTTCATCTTTTCTTAAAAATTGAATTTACTGAGGTGACACTGGTTAAAAAATTATATAGGTTTCAGGTATATAATTCTATAATACACCATCTGTATATTGCATTGCATTTTTACCACCCCAAGTGAAGTCTCCATCCATCACCAGTTGTCCTTTTACCCTCACCTACCTTACTTCACCCCCCTTTCCCTCTGATAATCACCATATTGTTGTCTGTCAATGAGTTTTGGGGTTTTTTTGCCTAATCCCTTCACCTGTTTTACTCAGCCCCACAACCCCCTCCCTTCTGATAGCTGTCAGTCTGTTCTCTGTATCCGAGTCTGTTTTTATTTTGTTAGTTTATTTTGTTCCTTAGATTACACCTGTAAGTGAAATCATATGGTACTGCCTCTCTCTGACTGGTTTATGTCACTTAGCATAATGCTCTCCAGTTCCATCCATGCTGCAAAAGGTAAGATAAACTTTTTTTTACAGCTGAGTAGTATTCCATTGTGTAAATGTATGACAGCTTTTTTACCCACTCATCTACTAACGGGCACTAAGCTGCTTGCAATCTTGGCTATTGTAAATAACACTACAATGAACGCAGGGGTGCATATATTCTTTCAAATTAGAGTTTCAGGTTTCTTCAGATAAATTCTCAGAAGCGGAAACACAAGGTCATAAGGCAGTTCCATTTTTAATTTTTTGAGGCATCTCCATGTGGCTTTTCCACAGTGGCTGCACCAGTCTGCCTTCCCACCAACAGTGCACGAGGGTTCCTTTCTCTCCACATCCTCCCAGCAGTTGTTGTTTACAGATTTATTGATAATCACCATTCTGACCAGTGTGAGGTGATGTCTCATTGTGGTTTTAATTTGCATTTCTCTGATGATTAATAACATTAAGCATCTTTTCATATGTCTGTTGGTCATATGTATATCCTATTTGGAGAAATGTCTTTTCAGATGATTTGCCCATTTTTTAATTGGATTGTTTTGGGGTTTTTTTAGTGTTGAGTTTTTTATAAATTTTGGGTATTATAAATAAAGCTTTTTATGTTTTCCTTTGAAGCTCTATTAAAAAAATTATGACTTCAATTCTGATTGTTTAGGAAGCATGTTATTTTCCTATGATAAGGAAGTATGCTACTCTGGGAAATGTGTAAATAGTATTATTCCTTGAAATACTAACAAAAATAACAGAGCTAAATCTCAAATTGCCCCAAATAAGTTCTAAAAATCTGTACTACAGAGTGAAGTAAGATTATAAAGTAAGACCATTTTCTACAAACAATAACATCACATATAGTAATATCTGTACATGAAATCATTTTGATGCTAGGGTGCACTACAAAGTGTGATATTACATACACAAAGATACTACTACTATCTTCATTATCTACAATATGTTCTTGAAAAAGTGTTTTAAAAGGACATATAACAAATGTTCATGACTAACATTATTTCTTTCCATTTTGAGTTCTATACTGTAACAGATATTCTATTGAAATATCCTGTATCTTAAACACATGCTAAATATTCCCAAATGACCATACTTTACATAACTAGAATTTTGTACTGATGAGACAGTTAATACTTAACTGTATTTCAAGTTACTGGTCAAATTTTTAAGACTCAACTATAAAGACAACATTGTTTTAATTTGTGAATAATTCAGAATGATATAATTTTTTAAAATTCTACATACATAAATGTATGTTTACATCTTCGCATGCAAACCTATATGCTGTAACTCTGTATGTCGTATCATTAATCTATAGATTATGTTAAGTGAAGTTTAACAATGACAACTAAGAGTTAATGAGCACTTCTTATGGGCCAGGCTTACTAAGTTAAGAGCTTTATGTTTATTATTTATCTACTGCAAAACCTATGGAACAGGTATAATTATTACCAACTTCATTTTACAGGTTAAGGAAATTTAACACTGCAAGAATTAAGGATGTTACCTAAAGTTGCATAACCAGTAAATGGCAAGAACTATAAAGCCATGCTCTTCACCACTACATATACCTCCTTTCAAATCATACTTCTCCCATGTAGTATCTCTCAGGAAAACAATTCTATAGAACATTACCACTATGATACAAGAAATTTCTTCATCCCGCCTGTATCTATGTTATAATGAAAATTAGACTATGAAACTTGCTAGACAACACCCATCCCATGCCTATTTTCTCATTCATATTTCATTATGGACCGATCACATTTTACTACTCATTTAGCTCTGGTATACAAACCAAAAGGTTGCCAGTTTGATTCCCATTCAGCACACATGCCTGGGTTGTGGGCCAGGTTCCCCAGTTAAGGGAGCACGAGAGGCAACCAATTAATGTATCTCTTGTACATTGATGTTTCTCTCCCCTCTCTTTCTCCCTCCCTTTTCCTCTCTCTAAAAAATAAAAATTTTCTTTAAAAATCTTTAAAAAAACTAAATCTCAAAGTAACCATGTACTGCTTTCATTTGAAGTTATTACTAACAAGGACGTTTATTGCAAGAAAAATATCCCTGTATTCCATCAAACTTTATTAGCTAGCCCACTACCTATTAAACAGCCATTAAAAAATGGGAGATTCTTTACATAAAATATACATCTGTCCTCATCAAGAGTTTTAAATAAGTCATAATAAAAAAATTTATAAATACAATAGCAAGGATAAAAAACAAGAGCCAAGCAACTAAGAGAGCCCAAAAAGCTTAATGAAGTCACTACAACTAGTACAAATTTAGTGGAGTTTCTAAGCAACCAATGAAAAGTTAAAACCATAATAGATTCTATTTTATTTATTTTTATT